AGAAATAGAACGACTGTGGCAAAAGAAAACAAAGATAGTAACAATAGTAATAGGCGCCTTGGGTGCAATCCCAAAATATCTGGAGTACCACTTGAAGACCATCGGCATTGACAAAATCACCATCAGTCAGTTGCAAAAGGCAGCTTTACCTGGAACACCTTATATCCTGTGATGATACTTTTAACACCGTCAAACAACATAATCTGCCTATTCTGGGTCCTTGGGAAGGACTTGATAGGTGGATAAAAATGCCAAATCCAGTCTAAACATCTGGCTGACTGTGTGACCAACAATACTACCACTTGAAGACCATCGGCATTGACAAAATCACCATCAGTCAGTTGCAAAAGGCAGCTTTACCTGGAACACCTTATATCCTGTGATGATACTTTTAACACCGTCAAACAACATAATCTGCCTAGTCTGGGTCCTTGGGAAGGACTTGATAGGTGGATAAAAATGCCAAATCCAGTCTAAACATCTGGCTGACTGTGTGACCAACAATACTAATATTAATCATAACTGAGTGATCTTCATAAGAACAGGAAAATCTTGTGCTTGTGCCTTGGCTGTTATGGAAGTCAAACTATATTTGTAGTGGCTATTGAAAATGGCATTTATTTCCAATTATTAATGCATGGGTCATTGGTACCTTCATTGCCATTTCTTCTCTTTGTCACCTTATGTTTTGGAAGAAATAACCCTGATTTCTTGAAGATAGGTATCAGACAGGAATAAGCTGTCTTCTAAAAGAATAGCGCTTCCCATTTTGTGCAAAACTAAGGAGAGTATTCGAAGTTCAAATTTTACTGTGAGTTTGGTATCTTAAGACCTGGCAACAGAAGAAATGCTGAAAATAATAAACCACATGAAAATATACGTAGTTTGAGGAAGAATAATTTCATTATACAGAGTTTTTAAAAGCAGGTTCTATCCAGAGACATTAAGCAAATTATGTAATAAATCTTAGTGTATCAGAAATAACTATAACTCACCTAGGCACCCTCCATAATCACTCTTTTCCATGCTTGGTAGGATTGTCCAGGCTCCGGTCAAAAGAAAGTATGAATGATCCTCACTTTTAACCCATTTTATTTATAAACAGGCATTCTTGGTCTGGGTTTATATTATTTAACATTAACTGCTGTTGATTGTTTGTTTGAAAAATGCACTATTTTTCCTTGCTGAACCTTACCAGTATGCTACATGCTTGAATAGTATAAAATCCATTTCTAAGAATCCTTTTCTCTTGCTGACTGTGGTGAAGGGAGCAAAGAAATTCAACATGTAAACATGACCTTCATGTGTCAGTTCCAAAATAAAGGCAAAGAAAGGTGAATCGAGTCCTTTCAGACTTATTTTTGAGAGACTCTCAAAGCTGTCTGAGTTGTTGAGTCTAAGACACCAACTCCATCAACTGTTTTGTGGTTGCCCTGCCTGTTAATTGCTCTAGCATTCATCTCGCCAATGAGTGTTATCTCTCTTTTGCCAGGCTGGTATCAAACTTTCCCTACACTTTTCCTTTTAGTTGTCATTTTTTTAGTCTTAATTGTCCTTTATTGTTAAATGGTGATGCCTAGGCTTATCTATTTTTTGGTACTCTCAGTTGCTTCTATAGTTTCAGCTGCTCTCTTTGTTCAGCTGACTTTGAAATCTCCTTTTAACATACAACTGAATTTGGTATTGGGTTCTATCAGAAAAGTATCTTTGTAAATGTTTTAATATTTTCAGTTACTCTGTTTAAAATTTATCTCCCCACCACCAGCCTTTGAATATATTTAGAGGTGAAGGCATTCTTCCTGATATTAATTAATTGTTCACAATCTTCTCTTTTAAAAATTCCCTCCCCTTTGTTTTCATGAATTAAATTGCTTTGTTACAATTTAGAACTTAACACTATATTTTGGGGGGGATCCATTTCATAATGTCAGAAAATGCGGCCACCAGTTTTTTGATCAGTGTGAACACAGGTGGCTTCAGAAGCCTCAAAAAGGAGACACCTCAGGTTGTTCACTCCTACTTTAAAGCTGAAGTGAAGTGAAGTGCAGATAAGAAAGACCAAAGGATACCTAAAGCCATCAGCTTATCCTGTCATCATTGGTTTAAAATCTGGCAAAACCACAAGGCTTGATCCTCTGTACAAGTGTTCCAGAGTAACAGCAACACTGCAAATTTAACTTCTAGAGTTGCAAAAGCCAAGATCTTTCAGAAGTTATAGAAAATTGGGAAAGGTTTGTGTGGATTACTGCTGGTGCCATGAATGTCTTTGAGTCCCTTCTTTGTCCTATTCTCATTTGTTATTTCATAGTGTTTTTGATTCTAATGCCTCTTGAGTCTCTTTAAAATGCATATTCTGAAGTGCTTCTCAAACGGTAATCAGTTGTAACCTTGATGGCTCTGCAGAGACATCTAGTGACTTGAATTTTGCATGCATGCCAAAAGTAAACTAATAAACAAGAGTGAACACACACACATACAGATACCCAACTGCTGAAATGTTCTGCTATTCTGCATTTAATCGCTGCTCCTTGATGTTCTTCATGTGAATGTCCAAAATCTTTGAGTTTTACCAAGGAAGGTGAGGAGGGGATGGCAGTAATAAATTTTTGAAGCACAAATCTTATTTAGGGTTTAGTGGATAACTGAAGTTTCAGAACGCTTGAAGCATTAACAGGGTGTTACGGAATTTTTGACACTTTTAATGCTTTCCTCATTCATCTTCCATTCAGGACTAAACTTTAGATGCTGACTATAAGTAATTTGAAATAGTCAAATGTAGCATTGTAAACTGGATAGTGCTGAAGTTGTGTCTGTTTATTTTAATTCTTTGTATTTGTGTGGCAGTTCATCTGATTGGAAAATTGGAAGAATTTGAGGACCAAGTTTATAAATGTCAAGACAATACTTTCTGGAAATGGGGGGGGGGGAACACAAATTAGAATAAAGTTAATTCCTGGGAAGTGTAAGGCTGAGGTTTTAAATGCCTTCCAACAGTAGATTTGCCTTCATAGACGTGTTTAGAAAATAAGAAAGTGTAAATTCCAGAGGAAACTGTCAAATGGTTATAGTTTTGTGAACATAGTGCATCTATAAATGTGGTCCTTCACATGGCACCAGTATAAAATGAGATCTATATTGTGCTTAACATTGATTATGGCAGTTCTGTAACTTTTCGCTCTAAATATAGGTTCCCCTCCTCTCCCCCGCAATTTTCCCCTTGGAAGAGTATTATGGGGAGAGTAGATGGGAATTTTTTTAAAAAAAATGTGTGACGGTAAGGACACACACACACTTTGTTTAATCCCAAACATTTTTTTTAAGGTGAAAAGATAAGCAGATATTGGTTGAAACTGAGATTTGTATCTGTTTTTGGAACAGGATTGAGTTTCTTCAAGTAGTTTTGAATTTTCAGTTCAGTTGAAGTTGTTCAGTGATTTCTATTGTATGATGAGGGTAGAGTGCCATTAGTAGAAGGAACTCTGCCCTTTAATACTGCGCACATGTATCTTTTTTACAAGACATCTCCTTTTTTACAGGAGATCAGTTGCCTACCCATGGATGTGTTTTCCTTGTTTTTCTTGGTGAAAGTGAGAATATGTTTGTATTCCAATATTGCTTTTTTATTATTCCACTGAGAAACTTTATTGATGGCATGAGTAATTTATGGCTTCGCTTGTCCTTTGTCTTGTTCTAATAGCAGTGGAGAAAAGGCAAAATGTAGTGTTCAAACTATCAATAATAATAATATAATAATAATATTGTGCCAGGGAATGGCCTAAAGTTAAAAAAACGTCAGTTACCATTTTCCAATTATCCTTACACTTACAATTCAGAAACTAAATAAAGGAAGTAGGACATTTCACTTGAACAAAAAATAATTTGGAGAAAGAGTATTTCCACATAAATATTTGTGTTTGTTCCAGATAAATATTTGTGCAGCAAACAATTTGTAATATAATTATATAATTGTAATAGAGGAAATTCTTTTTGCTCTCTGGCTTTACTCAATCTGTGTAGGAACTTTTCAGCAAACTTATCTTAGTATCAAAATCTTGGATCATGGTTTGTGAAGAATATTATCCAGTAATTTTGCAGTAAATGACTTTTTTTTTAGTAAATAATAAAGATATAAACACATATAAATAAAATTCATATGAAATAAAAAATTATTGTAGCTCTTAATTACATAGTACCTGAATGTTATGGTCAGCATATGTTTGTGCTCTGTGGTACTCATGGCAGTTTTATATAAGAACATATAAATCTATTTTATACTGACTTGGACTTTGATCCAACATATTGTATTTGCCAGCAGTAGTTCTTCACAGTTTAAAACAGGAGTTTTTCCAACCCTATCCTAAACCTTGGATCTTCCATTTGTAAAGCTGCTGCTTGATAACTGAATTATGCCTCTTATATTTTGAGTACATATTCCTGTTAACTATGTTGTTAAATATAGAAGTTCAACATCTGCATAAGCCATACTGAAACTCCTATCTGTAAGCAATAGTCAGTAATCAGAATGTTTATGCGTATTCCCAGTGCACAAGAGAGCAAACATAAACTAATTTGCAATTTACTGTTTTACAGTTGGGTTAACAATTTTGGTCATGAAGGCCTTGGGCTTCTCTTGGATGTCCTTGAAAAACTCCTTGATAAGAGACAGTAAGTACAGAAAGTATAAGAAAAAATAAGAGGAAGCAAAAGGGATGATGAATGTAGAACCATCAGTTAATGTTATTATTACTATTAATTTTAAGGCAAGAAAGTATTGACAAGAAGAATCAACATAAGCTTATACAGTGCCTCAAAGCATTTATGAATAATAAGGTAAGAATTTCAGCCCTGACTGATTTTTTTCTTCAGATAAGTTCACTTTAATGGTAATGAATGACAGTCTTTAAAGAAAGAGATGACTTTAATGAAATGGAAATTTGATCTACTAATGATGATGGTTTGCGTGTAGTTTAATATTGCTGTCGAAGTGAAGAATTTGGAATAAGGCGAAACCAATCCATATGTTATTTCATGGCTTGAAAACTCCATCAAGTATAGTGAAGCTTTTCCTTTTCTCCTGTAGCCTTGAGAAATGGAAAAACATATTTTAAACTGGTCAGTTCTTCATGGTAGACCAGGCTAGGAAATCAAAATCATGCAGGCCAATATTACTTTTATTATTATAAAGATACAGTAACAGAATCTTCCAAGTCTGAATGTACTTTTTCCTCCCTCCCTTTATTTTCATGAGAACTAGGGAGGATCTCGTCTGAGACATTTTTTCAGGTTACAGTTCTCAGTTACAGTTCTCTTACCCAGACTCAGGTTTCTTTTATCTGACTATTGTCTCGGAAGCAACTGTTCCTCTTGACCCTCAAGATCATTCCTTCTGCTCATTACAAGTTCCAGTGCTATGGATCCTGGGATAACACTGTAAGAATCATAAAATGTAAAACTTGGATGAGTAATTCAACTTTGGATATATCTCTCCACTCTTCCTATGAATCTTTGAGGCCAGATTTAGTGATATCAGAGGTATAAATTTTGGGAAGAAAGTGTAGGGAAACATGCAAAGTAATGCCATGCCATACCTTGAACTAACAATCCTTGAACTATTCTCAAAGTATTTCTAAACAGGTGTCCAGAAAAATACAGAGAAACCAAAATGTCTTTCTGGGTTTACTTCCATGTTGTTAGTCTGTTGCTGGCAAGGCTTTAGAAATTTTATTTTCTAGGGAGTTGTTTTCATAGGGGGAAAAAAAAAAGACAACAAGTGCCAAATTAGGCAGGGAAATAACAAGTTATATAGCATTCAAGCTGTGGTTCCATCATGAAATAAAATTATCTCCCTGATAAGCATGGCCAAAATAATACAGCATGTGCAGTATTTGCAACATTTTAATAGAGATATCACCCTTTTTCTAGAATATTAGGCATTTCCTGTATATGTGAAATGTTTTTGCTAGAATCCTGTACTTTTTTCTTTAAGTATGTTTCACTGAACTTGGTGAGGCTCATTTTTCCATTGACTCTATAGGATGGTGCTGTTCTATAATGCTGATTTAGAATACTCTGGGCAGTTTATAGCTTCACATGATAAATTTTGGGAAAAATTGATTCAGGCCTCCAAGATTGGGGATAATACCATGTTTTGGTATATGATCTCTGACCATATGAGAGAAACTAGCCCTAAATTAGAAGTTCCAATCATGGTTTCCACATGGGAGGTTTATTACTGATCACTTTATGCTTCTGAAAGTTGTAACTCTATAACAAAGAGATTCAGGAGAACCTACCATATTGGCATCCTGTCACTCCAAATGAAATCTCCAAACTAATAATACAACTGAAAAATGGCAAAGGCCCCGGGAGAGACATCGTTCACCAGAGCTGATTAAAGTAAGCACGGACTGGTGGGCAGGAGTTCTAGCAGTTCTATTTATAGTTATAAATCGCAGATTAGAAATGCCTCTGAATGGAACATTAAAAAAGCTCCAGGCAAGTCATATCAAAAAATGACATTCCATAATTGGAGCTGTTATCTTCGTCAAGTAGCCTTCTGATAGGAAATCCTGGAGAACCCAAGATTTGGGAAGTATAAAAAGAAGAAGCTCATCTTTCAGGTATCCTGAAAAGGTCTTTGAACCTGAAAATCAGGTGTCCAAATTGGGCTGAGGAATAGACTAGAAGTCACAATACACAGAGGAGATAGCATGGATCTCATGAATAAATCTGGTTTATTCAGAACATTGTGATTTATATGCTTTGTTTAGGGGTTATAGGAATTTAAGATTGGGTGTGCTGGCAATCTGATATTTTTAAACATTCTTTTTACCCCCCCAAGTATGGACTACAAAGAATACTAGGAGATGAACGAAGCCTTCTCTTACTTGCCAGAACAATTGATCCAAAACAACCAAACATGATGACTGAAACAGTGAAAATACTTTCTGCCATTTGTATTGTTGGAGAAGAAAACATGTAAGTGACAGAAACTAACATTTATTTTATTAAAGAAATTTATAAACCCTATTTTCTAGGGTAAATTCTGTAATTATCATTTTGCTTTTATATTGTTGACTTCCATATGTTTCCACTTGGCACTTGACTTCCAAGGAGACTAAGAGCTCTTTTATGATGGTGGCCTCATGGCCACTCATCTGGAGGATAGAGCCAGCTGCTATCTCCTAAATCAAAGAGAGCATGATTTCAGTACTAGTTGCTAGAGAGTAGCATATGGGTGAACAGGTGGTCCTTGTTTAACAACCACTCATTCAGAGACTGTTCGAACTTGTGACAGTGCTGAATAAGTGGTAGTTATGAGTGGTCCTTGAAGTTCTGACCGTTGCAGTATCCCACGGTCATGCGATCACGATTTGCAGCCTTCTCTGCTGGCTTCCCGCAAGCGAAGTCAATGGGGAAGCCAGCAGGAAGTCAGAAGATCATGTGAGGTCCTCACTTAACGGTAACCAGGGACTGCCAGAACTGCTGGCTCTAAGCAGCGCTGTCATGTGATGTCACGCTTTACAACTGCATTGCTTAATGACAGAAATTCCAGCCCCAATTAACATCATTAACTGAGGTCTACCTGTAGCCATTTTGAAATCCCATTATGCTGGATCAGATAAGTACATTTCTTCCATGCATTTTGTCTCTTCTCTGCATCAGTATCCTTCTGGGAACTATAGCTTAAGGCAGCCTCTGTACAAGTAAATGCAGAGGGAAAAAAATGGATTTTTTTTACATAACAGATAGGATACCTGTGTCGTTGTGGTAACAACATTCCAGGTCAGTACTATCCTCTCATGTCAAAGTTAAATAAACAAATTCTCGAAAGGAAAATGTTCCTCTTTTAGGTCTCCTGCAACAAGGCCTTACTAAAGTGCATTTCATTAGATTTGGGGCAGTTTTCAAGTGTGGGCACAGATAGCTGCAAGGAAGAATACAGGGTGGAATGTTTTTCTTCCATGAACTTTCTCAAATTAGTTATTTAAGGATCCAAACCAATGGTAATCTGTTTTTATTTAAGAACTGAAGGAATGGCAACAGCAACGACAAAAACAAGGATTTATTTCCTTGATCAGTAGCAGATTGATTTTTAGGTGCTACAAAACAGGCAAACATGTTTTTAAGAATCAGAGGTGTGATTTCTGAATAATCTGATAAAGTACATGCATATATTACATTGCATTGAAATAAATCTTTGTTACAGGCTGGACAAAATTTTAGGAGCTATAACAATTGCAGCTGAGAGAAACAACGGAGAACGATTTGCTAACATAGTGGAGGGGCTTGAAAATCATGAAGCTCTGCAATTACAGGTAGGTTTTCTCAGATTACAATTTGGACAATTAGATTAGATGACAATGCATTTTAATTGCTACCTGTATCAAAAGGAAAATATAAAATGGCTGTAGACAGTTTCGATTCTGGTGACATTGTTTTGGGTAGCAGTTGCAGATCCCAAATAAATAAATATTCATCTCAAAGCTGTATAACAAAAGCTTGATAATCTTCTTTTATACTCTGCATAAACACATTTGAAACACCATTGCTATAAGTTTTAGAACTTCACTATTTACTGAAATTGACTTCTTTTTTTTTTACTGTTTATGAAAGCATAGAATGGTAAAATAAATGCTTCTCTTTCCTCTACACACAACAGCATATTTTAGAATAGAACTTGTTCTTATATACTTTTTATTTTTTAAAATCATTTTTCCAGAGTTCTGTATATAAGGAAGACTCACAACCATTTGTGTGCACTAAAAGCCCTGGTTCCCCATGATCTGTTTGCAGTTATTAATGTAACATTACAGTAGGATGTGTGAATGGTAGAGTTTCTGCATTTTTCGCTAAGATGTTTCTTCAGCCTAAGATCTCTGGGAATAGCTGAAATAGAACTCTTTGGATGGCTAGTTACTGTTCAAAGTGCAAGTCTTTTCACATATTGTATCTGAGACCTGAATCACTGCAGAGATAAAATCAAGCCCTGGAATGCCACCATGTGAATGAGATAATGATTGAGTTTGTGACTTCTGTCTTGTAAGGTTAAGTCCATAAGACAAGAATTATTTCTGTAATCTTGACATGACAATATGAAAACTTTGAGTGCTAGAAGGAGCCAAAAGGAAAGATTAAGTTCCCCAAAAGGTCAGGTTATGATGCAGTGATATCCTTCCCCCCCCCCCCAAATGCAAGCTCTGTGGTGGACAATGTAATTGCCATCCAAGTTTGCTCTGTGAGA